TATGTAATCATCTTTTAATTTCGATGATAGATATAGATTTAAATAATTTTATATTACTCTTTTTAATATTACTGTTAATTAATTTACAAAATCACTTTGAAAAATACAGTTACTATAGAAATAGTTTTGGATATTATTTTAATTAATTTGACAATTCAATTTAGGTTTGTGTTTAACACGTTTAAACATTTTAAATATTTTAAAATAAAATTAACGTTTTTTAAGTTTATTTGAGATTTTGGTTTAAGTTTTAAATCTAATACAATATTTAGATTAACAAATTACATACACTATATTGATAATTTAAAACTTGAATAATGTATTTAACATCATATTTAAATTAAAAAAAAAACTAAATATGTTATAATAATAATTCAAATAATCTATCAATATTAATGATGATATTTTATATTTATTAAGTTAAATAAGATTGGAAGTTAAAAATTCATGATTTTCAAATTAATATATTGAGAGTAAAAATGATTCAATATATATATATATATATATATATATATATATATATATAATATTGATTTAATTAATATATTGAGAGTAAAAATGATTCAATTATATATATATATATATATATATATATATATATATATATATATATATTGATTTTTATATATGACAAATAACAAATAGTATGAAAGTATTATAAGTTTTACAAACATAAAAACAATAAAACATATATTTTAAAACTTGTATTCAAGAAACTTTTTAAAAACTCATAAAATCTTATAAAAAGAATACATAAAACTTAAAATACGCTTAATATATTTAATACATTGAGAAACATAACAAAATTCTCATTTTTTATGCAACAAAACCTATTTCTTCAACTCTTCATATCTATTCAACTCTTCATATTTGAATCATAAACCATTTTAAACATATGAATGTTTTTTGTAAGAAAATATTCATTATATACTACGAATATGGCTAAATATGTATAAATGAGGGGAAAATAAAAAGTCATTAGTAAATGACATTATTTTTAGGAACATAAAAATTCATTTAGTCAAGTAGTTATAATATATAAGTTAAAAACTCTTAAGTGGCTGTTATTAATCGGTTGAAAGTTGAAAGATTATGAGGGTTTCAAATGAATATGATCAGGAGCGTATCTAGCAAGTAAGAAGGTAGGTCCTAGGACCTACCTAAAATTTGAATTTAATTTATAATATATATACAACAAAAATTAAGAACTACCTTAGAAAAAATAAAGGACCTACCTTGGGTTTGTTTTTAAAAAAAACGTATTAAAAAATCATTTTAAAAGAAGATAAAAATAAGTTATATGGGGCATTTGTGTTGTTAAATATATAGGGTTAAATATAATACATAGTTTTTATCAAACAATAAGGTATTAATGCATTAATAATCAACTAGTTTTTATTAAACCGTTCAGTTTTTTCAATTATATTTTAGTCGGTTTTTTAAAAAAATTAATTGGTGGTTCCTGATCGGTTTTTTCAGTTATATTTCATTAAATCGTACACGACCCGACCCGACCCCTCACAAGTGTTGGTGATTTTTCTTTATCGGCTTCACTTAATTTGGGAACCACGTGATATTTTGTTTTAGATTCGCCACTGAATATGATGCACGTATATGACATATATATCTTGAACCATATTCATTTAGATGATCTCATTTATAAGATTTATAAAGATAAAGATAAATATATAAAGATAATAAATATATAAAGATAAAGATTAGGGCATAAACTGGGATAATGTCATTTATCTCCGCATTTGAAACAAATTATTTTGCCTATGGTTTTGTGTGAATCACCATTTTTACTCTCCCCTAGATCTTCTTTCTTTTGTTATCAATGTTGGCAAAAAGACCAAATCTGATAGAACTTGAAACCGTGTAGATTGATTTTTTTTTTCGCTTGGATCGAAAATGCAATCTAGTACCAGCCACAAGGACCATTTCCACAATTTACTCCATCTCTAAAGATATTTGTTTCTTAAACATATATTATGTAATATGTTAGGCAGTTGACGTGGTTCAAGTGTCACTTGTCACCCAAGTTGGATGCTAAAGGTGTCTTTAAGGGTGACAAGTCATAGTCATACTTCTATAATGGTACAAAGAATATTCCTCAAAATTAGGCCTCCCCATGTGGTTGACAAAATCAAATTCTTGAAGGCGTGAAAGGTTCGTCGGTGATGTTATATATTAACGAGACATAGAATATGCCATTTTAAAAGATACTTTGAATGCATTAATATTTAATTTAAAAATACTTTAAATGAATTAACTGATGTAAATTATGGTAGGAAAAGACTTGGTAGATAAACAAAATTAACCAATTTGGGTGGTATTTACTTAATATTCAGGCTACGTATCCAAAAATATCATTAGTTTTTATAAATTCATAAGCATTACAATGATAACTAGAGTATAAACTTATAACGTATATTTTTCATTTTTAAAAAGGATTTCAAGCAGTAGCTTGACAAAAATATCCAAAGTCGTGAATGAAACAACGATAAAAATATATGCTATATAGAAAAAAGCATTCAAATATGTTGTTTAAAATATTAATTCAATTGTTGAATATAAAATCAATTATGTAAACGTAACATGGGAATATACAAATTAAAGAATATTATAACTAGTGAATTATCTGATGCCTGCAATTAATCAAATATTACACACGTCCTTTAAGTTGTGAAAACTGCAACGCACGTACTTTAGGCCCCGATAATTATTAAAACATGAGTCATCAACTCAATCTATAACATTTGTATTTAGTGTACCATAAATTTAAAAAAACTTAAGAACTTTTATAAACTAAATGACGATGATATTCGACTTTTATTTCCCGGCTTGGCTCACGTTGAGGGCCAGTATTTTACTATTGTTTATGAAATGCGATAAAAACAAACGAATGAACGATTATATATCATTATCATTATGTATTAAAAAATATATAAAGACCCTACAATTATTTAACTTTTGAAAATTTTTAAACTTTCATGTTTGACAAACAAAGTAGTAGTTTATAAATTTGTTTTTTTATTTTAAAATGAGTAAAAAATGAAATAAATAGTATTTAATTTTCAACCATATTCTATTTTTTACTCTGAAAAATATATTTCTAATATCAATATTTTCTAAACTTATAAAAATTGTCAAAAGACCCTTCAACTTATTAGTTTTTTACATATTTATTAAATTTTATATTAATTCAATACATAAATATATTTTTTTTAATTTATGATAAATTGATATCATTTAAATAGTCAATTAAAACAAAATAAAAGATGATAAACTAAAATGGAAGACGGTAAAAGTTACAAACCCTTATTTTTAAAAAATCATTTTCAAATTCTTTTAAGTAGAAGTTGTTTTAAAAGGTTTTTTTCCATTATCAAACACTTTATTGACTTTTCAAAAAGTCAATAAACTAATAAGAAATTTTTAAATGAAATCTCAAACATTATAGTAGAGTAAAAATGGGAGTTTGAAGTAGGGTTGCACTAAGCTAGGTTTTTTTTAACTACTTAGATTGGTGTTTCAAAAAGCCTATTGAGATTTTTTTTAATTCTTTCAAATAAAACCTTTATTAATTATAAAAAGCTCAATTTTGTACAATTTTTTATGTCATTTTACATATTTACATACATAGCTAAAATACATTATCAGTTAGTTTAATCAAATATCGTTTTTTATTTGATAGTCGGTCAAATAAAGCCTCAACTAAGATATTGTGATAGTTATAACTTTTAAATAAAGATTAATTTAATTGAAATAATAAAACGCTTACATTATAATTTTTCTGAAAATTCTTTTATTTATTTATTTTAAGAAAAACACTTCTCTTCAGGAAAAAGATAAATCATATTCCTTAACGAATAATTCATTCTTTCTTTTTATATTCCTACGTATCAAAATAACAAGTCCCATATTCTAGTTGGACAAGACGGTAGCGGTGGCCCACACCGCCGGCCCACCACCGAAAGCCACCGTGTCACACACACGTATCTCATTCTCAACTCTCAACAGGTATCTTTTCCCGATTCCATAATTCCAAATGGCATTTTCCCCGTTTCAACCGGTGAACCTCTTTTCCAGATCATAAACAACTAAATCCACAACCACAATCGCATAATAACTTGTACTTCCCGCATCAAAACTTGGACATTAATCTGGAAAATGAGCAGCTCTGTAACGGAAAAGTCCGACCTTTGAAATGCGTAACTCAGAGACTTTCTTTTTTTCCCTTTGCTTTAAATGGCGAAAGCTGGAGATAGCGGGAACAACAACAGCGTGTAGCTTCCGCCTTCTGCTTGCTTGCTTCCACTACTTTCTCTCTCTTTCTTTAGGTATGTTTTCTCTCTCTGTATCGATAGATATACAGGTATGTGTATGTATATGTTTGACTTGATTCTTACGCTGTTTGATTTTGTTGTTGTTAAATACCTAGATCTGCAGTTCATTTTCTCAGCGTCAAGTCCATAGAGCATAGAGCATCTTAGGTTTGTTTGTAACTCTTTTGCTCGTTTAATGTTTATGAAGTTCGATTTTAGGTGATTTGATCCTGTTATTTAACTTCTACACAGCCATCACTTCGCATTATAGCTTTGAATACCTTTTTTTTTGGGGTCCAAATCGAATTTATTCGGCTTATATTTGATGTTTTAGTGCTGTTTTTGCTGGATTTGTTCTTTTGTTTGGAGTTTCTTTGTGTGTGTGTGTGTGTGTGATTTTACAATTTACATCACTAAAGCTCTCGATCCGGCAATGTGTTGCAGAAGACACATGCCTGCATAATGCATTAAGTAATTATGAGCTTGATTTTATTTGTTTCTTCTATCTTCTCTATGGAGATTTCATCGTGTTCTTCTTGCTTATACAGACCTTATGTGAAATTTTTAGAAGTTTTCACAACATTGTTTTTGGTTTTCTGTTCTGTTTTTTGTTTTCAGTTTCATGAGATCTAGTCTATTTTACAATCTGTATATCTGTAACATGTGATACCCATGCAGATTACAACAATGACTCCACCTATTGAGACTCAAACCAAACACACCGACTATCATCATCATCATTCACATGCTCCTCTCAATGAAAGAATACTCTCATCCTTGAGCAGAAGATCAGTTGCTGCACACCCTTGGCATGATCTTGAAATAGGTATCTCATTCATTCAAACCTAAATTCATATAATTTGATATTCAATCGTCTTACTTCTGTAAATGATCAAATGCAGGTCCAGGAGCACCAACAATATTCAACTGTGTAAGAGCTTGAAACCAATACAGTTCATGGTGTTTTTTTTTATGAAACAAATGATTTATCATAAAAGTTTTCACCTTTTTTCAGGTGATTGAGATTAGCAAGGGTAGCAAGGTAAAGTATGAGCTCGACAAAAAAACAGGACTTATCAAGGTAAAATTAAGATGATATATCATATGGTGTAATGAGCTATACTCTCTTTTGTGTAATTTAATTTTCTAATATGTTATTTATCAGGTGGATCGTGTCCTATACTCATCAGTTGTGTACCCTCACAATTACGGTTTTGTCCCTCGTACTCTCTGTGAAGACAATGACCCTCTTGATGTCTTGGTTATCATGCAGGTATGCTACTTGACTTTCTATCTACCACAATTTTGATTTCGATTTAAAAAACAAGTAAATGAAAGTACATTGCTATATGTTTTTCAGTTTGTGATGATTAATTTTTGGTTTGTTGAAATAGGAACCAATTCTTCCAGGGTGTTTTCTTCGTGCAAAAGCAATTGGTGTGATGCCTATGATTGATCAGGGAGAGAAAGATGATAAGATAATTGCAGTGTGTGCTGATGATCCTGAGTATAGACATTACAGTGACATTAAGGAACTCCCACCACATCGATTGGCTGAGATTCATCGCTTTTTTGAAGACTGTATCCTTTCAGAACTTAATTATGAAATTCTAATTTTATGATTTATGATGCAAAATTTTGTTTGTTAATCTTAACAAGTAATAATTAGACAAGAAGAATGAGAACAAGGAGGTTGTGGTCAATGATTTCTTGCCAGCTGCTGAGGCTATTGAGGTTGTCAAACATTCCATGTAAGTTTTTCTCATTTTCTCAATTTTTATAATTTTATTAAAATGGTAAAAAGTTACATAAATAAAGTATCTTGGTTGTGACTGTTTTGATGATTTGAAGGGATCTGTATGCGGACTATATTGTGGAAAGCTTAAGGAGATAAAGGAGAGAGGATGTTTGATCCATTTGTAGGTGAAGAAGATGATGTCATATATAAAGTCAAGTTCTATATTATATTTTTGGGCAAAATTGCACATTTCCATGTGTGCCTATAATATGTTGTGTAATCTATATTATCCCCATCGACAATGACGACTATTATGAAAAAAAAATACTCAAGAAAAGAAAAGTGGTTCGACTATTACATATATATATATTCTATTTTATTTTTTTTTATATTTTTTTCCCATTCAATGTATTGGCAATGTGTAACAGTGTAAGGGAAGAGTTTTTGTGCACTTTAAAATTTGATATACTGTTTTCGGTGTTTGTTTTTTGTTCATTTGATGGTGTATAAATTGATTTTGTTCAGTGAATACGATGATTCTTTTTAAAAAATGATCATGTAAGAACAATATATGTTGACGAATTTCAGTGAATCATTTAGTTTTAGAGAAAAAAAAAATACAACACTGAGTCAACGGCAAGAAAAAGGTCAAAAGAAATCAAATACAAGTCATGGTTCTTTGCATTTACAATAAATCATCAAGTATGTTCAAAGATCTAGAAGCAATGTTGATTTAAGGGCACAAACACAAACCTTAACTGAAACGTGCGAGGCCTGAATTGAATGAAAATACTTGAATTTGATAAAAGTTGAGGAATAGAGAAACTCATTGGAACCGTGAACCCATCAAATAAAACCGATGAATAACATGAGTTCGTTCTAGAGTGGCTGCTTTGGGGCTACACAAAACCGTTAGATAACTAAAATCATGAATGTATGGGGAAATTGTTTTTGGTGTTATCTGTTTATGACAATTACATCTACTTTTTTTTTTTTGCCCCAATGATGCGAGCCTAGCTGTTTTGGTATGAAATTCCATAAATTAGGTTTAAGATTCAAAATTTAGCATGTGAGACGGTACGGAGAAGCTTGGAGGCTAGAGCCATCCCTAGAATATATGCCATGACTATTTGCAATATGTATTGTTGGGCGACGAGGCTACGACCTGTGTGCAACCTCAGTCGGAGACAGAAAGTTGTTTGCGTTAGCAGTTGAAATTAGGCTTCATCAATGCTCGACTCCCAATCCATACATTTCCGTCGATCTTGAACAAGATCTATCATGAGATCCAAAGGAAGTGTCTTGGCGTATGTCTTTTGTCGATGAAATTGTTTTGGAGGTTGAGTTAAATGCTTAGTTGGATACATAAATGGCGACTTTAGAAGAGAAAGGGTCAAGAATCAATACTAGTAAAATACAGTACCTTTTGTGTAATTTTAGTAAGAAGACGAACTTCAGAAGGAGTAGATATAGGTTTAGAGGTGCAAACTTTTAACCCAAATGATATATTCAAATATCTAGGATCCATGATACATAAGGAAGGAGGAGACATTCACCCCATGAATAAAGACGAGTTGATTAAAGTGGAAGGCGGCTTCAGGAATATTATTTGACAAGAGGGTACCGTTGAAACCTAAGAGGAAGTTCTATAGGGTAGCGGTTAGGCATGTCATGTTTTATGGCCGACCAAGAAAGACCGCGAAAAAAAGATGGAAGTTATAGAAATAAGGATGTTTGAGTGAATTTGCAGTAGAAATTTAATAGATGAGATTCTAAATACGACTATAAGAAACTCGATAAGAGTGACACAAATACCCGAAAAATGAGGGAATGAAGAATGGGGTGGTATGGGCATGTCCTAATGAGGCTTCCATCAACAACGGCCAACATTCAGATCCATATATAATTTCAGATTTAAAACTATACGGATCAAAGGTTTAATTTCAAAAAATTAAAACTACAAGGATCATAAATGTAATTTATGTAAGCTAAAAACGTCAGGGGCCAAAATATAATTCTAGAAAATGTCTTAAAACTATAGAGACCAAAAATGTCTTTTGCTTATCTCCTCCTTCTTTTCCATATCTTTTGCATTAGAATACCAAACCTATAAGAAAACTTTAGTTTATGGTCAAGTATAGAAATTAAATTCGAAAGGACTAGAAATGGAGATGAGAGAATAATCCAAGGACCATTTCTGTCATTGCACAAGTTGTTCTAGAGGATTTAGCGTCAGTTTGCATAAACCTGATAAACCCTCTCTTTGCTACATCTCCTTCTTCCTTTTCATGCCTTTTCAAAAACCCTAAATTAGTGTCGCAGAAACTACGAATTGAACCCTCAAACTTCTGTTGAGATGAGTTCCTTCACGAATACATCTAATCTCGATAACCTCCTCCTTCAAACCCTAATGGGCAGGCTTCAAATTCGCCCCCCAAATCCTCTTCAACCACAGTTATCACCTCTTTTTAACCAAACCCTAGAAGACCTCCTTTTGGACTCCATGAACAACATCTCAGATACCGAAGACGATCAAGACGATGACGATGATGATGAAAACAACAGGAGGAGCAAAACCCAGCTCGCCAAAGAAGAATCGAAGCTGGAAAAGGCGGTGATCAAAATTATTCTCAGCGGAAACGGGGATGAAACCCTAAAACCCAATTCGGGTCAGGCAGTAACGATCGGCGAACACCATATCTGTGTCGGGTATCATGTGGAAACGGGTTCGGAGTATCGTGTTTGGGAATGGCATGGTCATATCATGTTGTTTGATGATGAGAATGGGTATAATCCAGAGTATATTTATGGAAACTATTTCGAGAGGATGAAAATTGTGCCTGGGAAGATGAAGGAGGAGGCGGCAGCGGCGGTTAACGGTGGTGTTGGAGATAAGGAAGAGAAGTCCATTAATTCCGGTTTGAAGGAGCTGATTGGATCAAGTGAGGATGCTGGGTCGGGTCGGATTCTCCATCGCAATGTGAATGTCGGATCCTCAAGGTTTATCTAAATAACCCCAATCTCTTATTCAAGTAAAATCCCATTTGGATTCTATTACAAACAAAACATATATGTTGCCAAAATTGAACAAAAATGGCAAGTTTTCGCTTTTTTTTTCAGAAGTTTTTGATAATTCTCTGCCTATGAACTTGTTATAAGCATATTATAATCTAAATTTAACAAGATGTTGAAGATGTTATGTATCATGTAGTGATGTTTATAGCATATGCATGATTTTGCTATATATGTAAGTATTGTTTGCTTAATTAGCTAGTAATCAATGAGGGCAAATTTGTAGAAAGTCACGACTTGATTAAGAAAAAGTCGATATGTGTTAAGTAGTTCTTTCTGTATTAAGTAAAAAAGAAACACTTATATATGGGTTTTTCTTTTAGAAAAATATAATTGTTATGTTTTTTTTTACAATATTTTCTTGAAATAACTAATATTTAAGCATTTTGTATGATTGGCAGTCTAGATAAACGATCGGCTTGATTCAAAAAAGCAACAAGGACTCGTTTCACACAGGTTCGTGGTTGGAATAACAAATCTTTGAAGTAGATTTCTAATGTAAAGAGAACAAGATTTTGATACTTGGTGAGAAGATGAGAATGAGATTGTGTTGTTATGTTTCAAACTAGTTTTGCATTACTCAAAATGATCAAAAAGATGTTGTTTTCTGCCATTGTTATGAATGGAATCTTTGTTTACTTTTTGGTTTATCATTTGGATTTTGCTTATGAGAATCTTGTATAGCTTGCATGTATAAGATACAAGTCATTAACTCATTATATCAGTTTTACTTATTTATTCCTTTTGGCCTAAATTTCCATATTTGATTGTTTGATTCCATTTTGTTTGGATATGTACTCTCGCCTCTTAACGGGTAGTCTTCATTGTTCGTTTATTATGGACTTACGGTTGCCCAAACTCATTGTGAATTTGTAGAAGAACAATGAAACTTGGGTTGTAATTATTTCACTAGACTTTCATTACTTGTCATTTGGATAGACCTATTTAACTTGCAATGGTTGCAATTTGGTTTCATGCAACTCAAGTTTACCTCAATCAACATTTCTCTTGTTTAAGTATGTATGTAATGGTTTTTATTTAGGGTTTTTTTAAAATTGTTGGTGATTTTAGTGTTACGTGACATTTAAGTGTAATTGGATTTATACTAGTTTCATAGGGGATCAATATTTTGATCTAATGCAAGTTTGTTGGTGGCTTGGTGCAGAGCGTACACTTGTGGAGGAGGTAAGGGGGTTGCGACTGATATAGGTCAAGGGGTGGTGCACACACAACCACTCAACCATACATACACACAATTCTTTAAAGCGGTGTTCAAGATATCTAAAGTAGACATAATTATAAAGATTAAATTAAGTTCATTATATTAACATACACAATTACGAGAAACATTTAAAAGATAGTTACTTTTTGGAAAAATATTGAAAGAATTATTTCAAAAAAAAAAAGTTGTAATTAAGCATGTAATCACACAACAAGGAGCTTACAAAGCCACATACAAGTACAACATTTCCCTAGGATCAAAGTAACATTCCCCTCGGATCAAAGTCTAGCGGTTAGGTACAGAATTTCATAAAAGAGGTTAAAGTTAAAATCGAGTAGTCCAAAATATTGATAATGCTCTATGATTCACCTCAGACCAAATGCAAATGCGGGTTCAATGTGGGTTGTTTAGAGAATACAACAAACCTTTTTTTCAAGTATCCCAACATAAGCTACAAGTTACTTAAGAATAGCATGACAAATTAAGTCTAAAAATGATGATGAGTCAAGCCTAAATATGAGTTATGCAACTAGAAGCAAGTGGTGTCCGAATTATGGTGGTAAGTTCTAGCTTAGAGATGACAATGAGTAGGGGGCAAACGAGTCAAGATACTTGGGATTGATTCGTTAAAAGCTCGATTCAAGATCAATTTTAAACAAACTTGAACTTAATATTAGGTTTTTTATTAAACGAGCTTGAACTCAAGCCTATGTTACTAAGCTCTATTAGGTTGTGAGCATAAACGAGCTTTTATATATATATATATATATATATATATATATATATATATATATATATATATATATATATATATATATAATATGAAATTTTATTTTACTTTTTTATATATTAGAATAAATAATTTTTTAGTAAACACAATTTTAAAGAACTGGTGTATACCATATACAAGTCGAGCCCAACCTGAGCCTTGAGACTGTGCCCGTATAATTCTTCACGAGCCGATCTCGAGCTCCGTACCATAAGGCTCGAAACGAGCCGAGCTCAAGCTTGGTCAGGTTCGACTCATTTGCACCCCTAAAAAAGGTAAGATTAGAAGCATAAGGTGGAAGCATTTCTAAAGAATAAGTTAAACTAAAAACATGATGATAAGCTAAACTAGAAACATGAGGTGTAACATTCTCATGAAAGTTTACT